GAAAACCTTTGTGATTTATTATGATTAGACAGTCTTCCTGTTCTTTACTCTAAATTCTTTTCCAATCATCAGGGGGAGCTGGTAAAGCTTTTTGCTAATGATCAGCACAAAATAAAATGTGGTAAGTTGATTAAAATTTTAAAAACATCAATCTAAGTTGTGACCCTGTATGTATATACTTGAGGTTGCTAAATTAATTGCTTCCCTGGACTATAGTGCTTGCGTATTTTAGCAAAATCATGCTTAATGAGATGTTTGCTATGTGGTTGCCTCGAGTCTGAATTGAATTTTACAACAGTGTGTTTATCTGTACCTCCGAGAGGAGAATGTGATGGAAGGTTGGAACAAGTTCTTCGTGCACCGAAAGATCATTACTTAAAGATAAATATATACATTTTTCTTAAAAGCCTTGCCTTTGGCTAACAACAAATGTTTGAACTATCACGTTATCTTGTATAAATTATTTTGATTCGTTGGTTGGTTAACGTTGTTCTATTTCAGCTATTTTTATTGTGCATCCCGAGCTTTCTAATTAGTTATGTTATAGATCCGGACATGCAACTGGAGATTGACACGTATCTTTCGAAGGGTCAGGCCACGTTTACTGTTCTTTTACTGGTAGGTTTATCTGATATAAGTAAATCTTCTAGAAAATCTCATTCCTTGTTGGGGTTGTACTTATTTCTTAGCCCTATACTGAGTGAGTCAAATCTAACTTCAAATTTGTCATTTTGTCAGATTGAGCCCTGAACTAAAACTCATTGTGAAATTAATAGCATCCATTTTCTGGTTTCCATTTTCTAGAAGATTTGTAACTAATTGTTGACATTCTAGTGGTTTTATGAGTTAGTTTTTCTTTTTCGTTTATTTTGCATAGTCCTTTTCTAGTTACATTGTATGCTTTTTGATAGATTTGGATATATTGATGTTGAATGTAAATGCTTCTTTTACCTACTTAATTTTGTGCCGTCTTTTTTTTTTTTTTTTTTTTTTGTTGGTTTGGCCATTTTTGTGACTTGAGAAGTGTTTTTTTAGTTAAGTTTGTGTGGGTATCTTTTTTTTTTTTGGACGATTTTCTAATTTGGTTGTGAAGAAATATTAATATTGACACTTGTTCAAGATTAGGATTTAATATTCCATTTTTCCTGCAAATCTTTGAAAAGTATTCACCTAGCATCTAAAGTTTTGGTCTAAGATGTTAGCGATCAGCTAACTTCGTATTATAATGCAAGCTTTTAGGAATATGATGTTTGGTGAATTCAACACTTGAAAAGAAAGCATTATGGGTACATATATACATTCTTGAGTTGTTTACCTATTATGCCTCTTCAGTTCAGTTGCTTACCCACTCTGCCACTTCAGTTTTAGAACAACATCCAAAAAAGTGATTTTTTTTTTATCTTTATAGGACTTATTTTCATTTGAACTGTAATTTTCTTTTATATGTATCTCCCATGTTGTCTTGAAAACATTTTCTAGCTTACTATTCAACCAGGTTTCAATTTTAATCTAGAGAGACCCGTAAAAGGTCATAACTCACAAACTGTGTTTTCATTTTTATTTGGATGAAAAAAAAATCTTAGCCAACAGAGGGAATCTCCGCTCACGCACCAAAAAGATAAATAAAAGAAAATTCATAACCTGTAGATCAATCACCAATGATGTTATTTGTTATAGGGTCAGCCTCTTGGCTGGTAAGGAAGTAGAAAGAAATAAAACTTGACTATCAAATAGAATATAAAACACATGGTACTATTAAAGATACGGCCTTCACTGACTTATATATACTAAATATTTTGCATCTTGCTTTTCCCACAAATTTCATACAGATTGATTTGTCTGAAAATTGGGAGCCAGCATCTATTTCTTTGAGGAGGTCTGGTTACCAAATTAAGATGGGAAATACAGAAGTGGTTGTAATTGCTGAGAAATATTCAAGGGAGTTATCGGTATGTTTTTATTAGTAGTCTATTCACTGATGATGGTGTCTACAAGTTTAAATTATTTTCAAATAAACCAAAGATTTGTTTTGTTTTTCTATTATATATTTGTGGATGCAGTTGAAAATTCCTCCTGGGATTTCTACACAATTTGTTTTGACATGTTCTGATGGATCATCTCTTCCTTTTAATGCTTATGATGTTAGGTAATGTTCCCATTCTACTTACAGATTCATTTGTATTTTGTGAAGTTCTCGGACTAACCATAAACCTTAGAATATCATATGACCTTCTTATTTCTTTAGCATTGCCTATAATCAACAAGAAGCATATTATACCCGCTCATGTCTTTAGTTTCAGAATGATATCTTATTTCTATTTTCTTTAATAGTTATTCAGTCTAGGATGCTGATTTTTCTTGTAGGATGCGGGATACACTTGTGTTGACCATGAGAATGTTCCAAAGCAAGGTATTCTCTCTTACCAAAATCTATTAGTTAGGGATCAATTTTTGGACACCATTAATGACGGTTAAGAAGTTATCATATTTAGATATATTTATTAATGTATTTCGATGCAGACTTTGACTAGTATGCAACTCTTTTCTTTTCTTAAATAGTATTTTTTTCTCTTCAAATCTGTGCCATTGATCCCGATTTGATTAACCTGCAAGAGATTTCACACACTTAATACTATCTCTGGAGGCCAAAGGCTCAAACCATGGAGCTTGGGTGATAATCCTGTCTAAAGCCTCCTCTCGTAGATGTTGGGAGGCTTCGTGTTCTTTCATGCAATTGTTTTCCGAAGAGTTTTCTGTTTTTTTTTTTCAAATTATTTTTCGAGAATCAGGACCAACCAACTTATAAAAAGGTGTTAAACCCACGATTTTGGATAAAGAATAACTTTTGAGATTTTAAAAAACATCATCTTTGAGAACAACAAACTAAAGGAACAGGAGAAAACGTTTAAAGAAAATTGTCAAAACATGCTTTTATGAAGGTTCTGTTCTGTTGTAACATTCTCCTGAACAATATGCCTTTGTGCATGCATGGGTTTTAGGCAATTTATGTTGTTTTGTGAAGGGAGATGTTATTTTGTTCTGATAGTTACTTAAGATAATTCATGCCTTTTTGTTTCTCTTTTTTTCTTTTCTTGAGTTCAACACGTGTTGAGAGTATTTGCTTTAATTAGTTGAACTATACTCTGTCGTCCTGGCACAATTTTTTTTTTTTTGGAGTACCAAAAAGGAAAAAAAGTGTGTTCATACACACATCATTATCCATATGGTTTGAGTTCTTTTACTAGATTCTACATATTCTTGAAGCAGGCAATGGATGATAGAAGGAAAGGAAAAGCATAGACCAGAGCCATTCAAGTATTGTGTCGATATTCATCATTCATTCATTATGCAAAGTAGATGTAATTGAAATTGTTTCATCATAGTCTGAACTAATAAATCAAATAAATCCTGAAGGTTGATTTTGTACCTCTTAACCTCTCATAGACACAAATGCATATATAGTCTCTTCCCTGTTAGTTTCTTCCTCGTAATCATATTGAACTTTCTAGTAGATGAAGGCCTCAAATTTTATTTTGGTGTAATTGTAATTGGAAGGAATGAGAATAACAGTTACAATAGGACTGTTATTTACTGTACAAACATTATTTATAGGTACATGAAATGATGAAATGGCCCTTTTTTTTACTGTGGAAGAGGTATGTCTCTTGATAAGGAAAGCCACATTGCCTGTCTTTGTTTGTGTAATGTCATTATATAATTATGTCATTGGCCTCTTTGGTTCATTTCTTAAGTGAGTGGGGACATAAAGCATTCTTCACATAAAAATGGCCTGTAAACTTGGTCCCATTGTTGGATTTATGACTTTTGGAGGCTTAAAGAAAATGATAAAAATAAAATAAATGTTAAAGATATGCATTTTTTGGTTTGGCGCTAGATGGACTAACTAAAGGGAAATGTCACACTCGACGTATCACGAGATTGGGGCATTCTAATTGAAGGGTCATACTTCTCGACTTTATTATGATAAGGCAAAAGCACCATTCGACCAGTTTGATGACGAACATGTGTTGTAAGCTAAACCGTTTCCCTTGTAGATAGAGGAGATATAGAAAGTGTCAAGTACATAGGATGATTTTTAAAATTTGACATAGATTTTGAAAACATATTTCATTCCTATCGTTGATTAACTTTTCGCGTTAGAATGCTCGTATTCCATTTTTAAATGATGGAGTGGGGTAATGTCAAATGTTCAATTTTGGTTGAAAATATTCATATAAATATAATCTTGAAATATGAAGAAAAAAGAGAGGAATAATTCTAATTTAGTCCTTATAATATAATTGATAAATTAATTTATAAACGATAAATAAGTAAATCAACTTTAAAAAAAAAAAAAAAAAAATCATGGTAGAAAATTAAGTTCCTTATTGTTACAAAAGGCACATTTCTGGAAATCTCCTTTGGTTCAATCACCAAGCCAATAAACATTGGCCACGTCAAGTACTCACATGATTGCACGTGACCACTTACACTTACATCTGAAATGTGAATCTCTTGCCTTTATTTTAGTGAGCTCTTTTTTTGTTGCTTAGAGCTCATTTAGCTTGTTTATCAAACCCAAGGGACTTAGACAACAAACTAATAATGAGACACAATTTCTTTGTTCAAGACATGTTTCTGAAGGAGAAGAATTGAAAAGCCAAAAGTAAAGCGAAAGGACAAGTGTTAATGAGTGATATAACAGATTCCTACCTCCTCCCACTTTCCTTCCCTTTGCATCCAAGTCCCCCCAATTTTGCTTTCTTTTTCTTCACCCGAGATCCTACAGAGAAGAACGAAACATTTTTTATAAGGGTGTGGAGACCTATCTCTAGTAAACGCATTTTAAAAACTTTGAGAAAAGCTCGAAAGAGGACAATATCTAGTAAATTGGCTTGGATTGTTACACTTTCTCTCTCTTCTTTTTCTCTCTCTATCCTAGACATAAACACATGAAAGAAGATAGGGGTACCTGCAAGATCTGCTAGTGGCAGAGGAAAATGGGTTCTGTGGGAAACTCAAATCAATGGCAGCCATATGCTTACAAGGACTGTTCTTTAGAGATTTGCAGCATATACTGTCCTCAGTGGTGCTACATCATCTTTCCACCACCTCCACCTTTTGGCTATGGCAGCCATGGCGATTCCGCCACTGATTTCTCTCCTCTCATCATCGCCATCATTGGAATCTTGGCTAGCGCCTTCATTGTGGTAAGCTACTACACCATCATCTCCAAATATTGCAGGAACAGAGCTGCTACCACCAACGCTGTCATGGAAATGGATGATGAAGAAAATCTTACCCAAATCCTCCATGAAAACCAGCTGCAAGCTCCTCCTCCTCCTGCAGGCCTGGATCATGCTCTCATCAAGTCCATCACAGTCTGCAAGTATAAAAGAGGAGATGACTTAGTTGAAGGTACTGATTGCTCAGTTTGCCTGAGTGAGTTTCAAGAAAATGAGAGCTTAAGGTTGCTGCCAAAGTGCAGCCATGCCTTTCATCTTCCTTGCATTGACACATGGCTCAAATCTCACTCAACTTGCCCTCTCTGCCGCTCCAACATTTCACCAACCAATCTTTCCCCACCCCCAACACAAGAAATTCTAAGAACAGAACACCTAAATGCATCTGCTCTTCAGTATCAACACAGAACCAATGACACAGTAGTTGTTGTAGTGGTTCAAGATTTGCAGGATTTAACAGTGAGGCAAGAAACTGCTGTTTCTGGGCTTGAGAATGATGATGCTTCTTCCAAGAATCGAAGGCAAAGTTTTGCATCAGATAGTCAAGACTCAGAGCCAAGAGACAGAATGAATCAAGTTAAGCCGTATAGAAGGTCAGTTTCCTTGAATTCTTTATCATGGCAAGGGCAGGTTTCTGTTGCTGATATATTGAGAGCCAGTCAAGATAGTGAGGATGAGGTAGAGGAAGATGAATTATAAATGGGGATTGGATCTTCAAAACTATTTGCTCAAGAGCTTTGCCATTCCAATCACAAAACTGGGGTTTTCAACTTGGGAATGAATAGATCTATTTCAACTGGAAAACTGGGTTTTACAAACACAAACTATGGGAAAGGAAAGAGTTGCATCATTCCCAGTTGAAAGTAGATATACGAACTGTACAAAACTTGAAAAAAATTCTCTTATTTTTGTAATATTTTGTTGAAATCACAGAAGAAACCCAGATTCATACAAGATTAGCATACTGGATGGACTTTGAATGAACATTTTACAGTTTACAAGCCTCTTCAAAAATGTTGCCCATGCATCATATTCATCAAAGCTTCAGTAAAGTGTTTTATTTTTTGGGATTTTACTGAGGGTAACTGATCATGAACTATTGAATTTCATAAAGATTTAAACTCAAGGCAGTGTGCATTTGAAGCCTAAGAATTGTCTCAATGATTAGCACTTTTCTACTGTCAATTATGCTCTTTCACTTTGTTGCGTTATGCAGAGTTGTCAGAATTTATGCAGGGCTACCTAATTCACATTGCATAATGTAAGGAGGGAAACTTTTGCTAAACTCCATGTTTAAAATTTTAAATTTTTTACTCCATACTACTCTTCCATGTGAAGTTTTGAGCTCTTAAATCAAAACTTGCACCAACAATTGTACTGATGTCAGACATTGACTATAAATAAAATTAATCTAAATCAGACATTGACTATAAAGTTCAAGGACAATATCCATAAAATACGGAAAAACAAGTGCATAAATTAGTAAAAGTAAAGAAGAATTAGGAATACTGACAACTACACTGCCTGCATCTCAACCTCCATTTCTGAGACAGATTGATGCTTTATCAGATGGGTTCGCTGTTGATCATACCATTTCATCATAATTAGGAAGAAAAATGGCTTCAAGTTAGGTGCGACTTCTTTGACAAAAAGTAGAGTTTCCCATCACCTTCATGTTTGGAGAATGAAAATGTTGATCAATATTTCAGATTTGTCTTTGAACCCAGAGAGAGAGAGGTCATACCTTGATTTGCTATACTGGAGTTCTAAAAGCTACTTCTCAACTTCGAAAAAGATTTTGGGAATTTTGCGGAAAATGGACCACTAGATATCCTTCCATCACTTTCACCTGAATTCTGGTCCATGCTTGAATATTTATTGATTTTTGAAATACTAATGGAGGTAAAATGTAAGAACTCCATGTCTAAGCCTTTTCCTTTTATCATTGTAGTTCTCTTTTCTCATTGAAGTGAGAGATGATTATTTAAGAAAATAACCAATAAGATAGAGGCACTTACCCTTATTATCACGGGTATCTCAATGAAGTGCTTGTTGAGGATTGATGGGAGTGAGTCCCACGTTGGTTAATTTAGTGAAAGATCGTGAGTTTATAAGTGGGGAATACTATCTCCATTGGTACGAGGTCTTTTGGGGTAGCCCAAAACAAAGCCATGAGAGCTTATGCTTAAAGTGGACAATATCATACCATTGTGGAGAGTCGTGATTCCTGAGGCATCATTCTTACTTCATCAAAAATCTATACTCTGCATGTTGTAAAGTCAGTGTTACATGACGTTGGAAAAACAAGGTAGTAACGGAGCAGTTACCTTGGGGAAACTTTTGGCTTGATGCCCACAAACTTGGAGGTTTATTCACTAAGTTAGACCAGTTGAATGACTATGCAGAAGCATGAAATCAAATCACTACAGAGGAGTTTATAGATGATAAGTTGTCTGTTAGTCAAGCCCATACTTTCGGATGAACCTTTTTTTTTTGTAACAGTCCAAGCCTACCGCTCAGATATTGTCACCTTTGGGCTTTCCCTTCTAGGCTGTCCCTCAATGTTCTAAAACGTGTCTGTTAGGGAAAGGTTTCCACATTTTTATAAGAAATGTTTCGTTCCCCTCACCCTCAGTAAAGGATACACAGCATCCTCAGGGATGGCATGCTGGTTCATAGAATGAACAGTCAGTTCATACAATGAAGGAGGCTGAATTGTCAAATCCGCCAACTGCCATTCAGAAACAGAGAGTTTTCTTCTTGCACTGGGCTTGTGATGAAACACATCATCCTCAGTGAGTTCATCATTTACAAAATTCACAATCGGTTCGCCAAGGAGGTACGGATCATTCAATTCCTTACTGACCAAAGACTCATACATTCATCAACAAGGCCTATTTCCACAGCCTGTTGCATGATATCTTCTGTTGTAAGAAAAGCCTTAATGGCTTCAATCCAGCTAGGGAGGATTTTCTGTTCAAAGAAAGTAAGTGCTTTGCTCAACAGGTTATTTGGGCTGAGACTTCCAGTCATCACAAGATATAAAGCAAGACAAGCTAAAGGAAGCACATTCTCACATGACATTTGCAGTTGAAACCCATGGCAGAACCTTGCAACGAGTTCATGCTTCTGAGGAATTGACCTATACTGTTCTCAGATTGCTCATTCAGTAACTCCGCTATCTTGCCCGACTTTTCTACTATGATATCCTGTAGAAAAACAATAAAGATTGTTAGATGAACATGACTCTCCATAGAGGTATGATATTATCTACTTTGAGCATAAGCTCTCATGGCTTTGCTTTGGGCTTCTCCAAAAGGCCCCGTACCCATGGAGATAGTATTTCTTGATTATAAACCTATGAACATTCACTAAATTAGCTGACGTGGGGCTTTCATCAAACAAAGATAATCGAAAAATCACAGAGATTTGAAGAAAAGAAATATGTAACTGAATCCAGAATCCCACGTTCTCACCCTGACCTAAGTCAAGGGCACCCCACTGACATGGAACTGCATATCAGTTCTAGATTTTGGCTTAGGCAACCTGCAAACCAGAACGAAGATGAGCGACCGTTTCCAAACAATCAAGACAGGGAAAACGAAACTGTTAATTAAATGCATGAAGAAAAAAAAGTTTTACCAATCGGAGGCATCCTTGTCCGATTTGTCTGCCATGTTCGGAAGATTCTTCTGTATAATCTACAGAACCAAACACAAAAAATCTTGAGTCATTTTTTCTTTCTAGTTTCTGATAATAATTAGCTTTGTAGCTCTCTCTCAGATCATTACAGACGAATGATTTTCCCAAAACTGCAATCGTAGAGGTCTCGACTGAAAGAAAGAACGCTCCTCGAAATACACTATACGATCTCTAACGCAGCAACATTTTGAGAGATAATGGAGTTAAATCACGATTACGACCAAATTAGGTAGCGAAATCAAAGCCTAAACAGCAACATACAAGTACAAAAAGTGAAAATGCTGAGAATTATAGCCATTACCGAACTGCTTCTTCTTCCGATCCAATAAATTGCATAAAGAACCGATAAAACCCACATTGAGGACTGAATCTAATTATCAAATTGTCTCCATGGAAGATCAAACAGGGATTTAATTGAAAGAAAACTTACGAATCAAATGTAGCGGGAAGTAACAAGCCAAAACTAGCGGGATTTTGTTAGTTGGAGTAACAAATTTTCTTTTAAAATTTAAACATTTTATTTTCCAACCATTGAATTATGTTCATATTTAGTGAATAATTTAGTTATTGGACATAAAATAAAAATTATATTGACTATTTCTTTTTAAAAAAATCTCAAATATCAAATATTCACGATCTACTCAAATATATATATTTTTTTAATATTAATAATAACTTTAAAATAAATTTGAATTATAACTATATATATATATTTTTTTTGTTGATCTTGCCGATCCGATAAAAAAAGATGTCAACCTATGAACCGACCCTAATTTTCGGTTTTTAGAAAAGTCAACTTAACCCAATTTTTTAATATAAAAAAAACAACCATAAACTAAGACCTCTTTTAAAATCATGGAGATTAAGTTTAAATATTTAAAAATATGAGTACGAACTCAAAATATATAAACTAATACTTTATTTAGATGGGCCAGGACTTCAACTAAGCCCAACAAACCCAAACCCAAACCCAAAGAAAGGGCGGGCTCAAAGCCCAATTCTTAACAAAGTTGGGCCGGAGACGGACAATCGTAATTTGGCGGGGGCTATATAATCAGCCGGAGCTAACGTAGGGTTTCCTTGCTTGGCCGTTCAGTCTGCACCAGCGTATCTCTAGAGGTGTCACCGTTGCATCCAAGCCTCAACAATGGTACTACTTTTCTCTTGCTGGTTTCATGTTCTTCTTGACTACTTTATTTTTCTAGGGTTCTGAAGTTATGTAGGCGAGATGAGATGTCTGTAATCCGTAGTCTGTAGTCTGTAGGATTTAATTTGCGAGGAGAGATTAGTGAACAAGAAGCGAAAACTCGAGGCTTATTCTTCTGGTTGATGAAATATTGGAAAGGAAAATGAACTATTAGGTCGCTTTATGGTAGCAGATTATCGATTTGATTTCATGGATCTCTCGTAGTTTAAGCATTGTTTAATGTTGAGAAGTTGTTAAGGATTTACAGTTCTCTATTTTTCACGAATTTTCGTTATTTTCACTGCTGTTCTAGTTTCAGCACCTTTCGCAGAGAGAATTGATGAGAATTTGGGAAAACATATTTAGCGAGGCTTTGTGCCTTACGTGCTCTGAAGCGATCATTACATTTCTCTAACTCGTGTTCATTTCTATTTCCTGTACAATTGCAGACTAAAAGAACCAAGAAGGCTGGAATTGTCGGCAAATACGGTATGTTCTAGCGTCTCATGTTTTTATTTACGGTGAAATAGAATTTGTACTTCCGATATTAGACCTACGTATGAATGTGGAATTTATATCCTTGTCTGATGATTTATAGACTAGAGACGCCATCATTGACATTCACATATGGTTTGATTAAGCGTCCTATAATTTGTTTTTTGAAGTAATTGGTAGCTTTTCAAGAGCCTCCACTTCCTCCATCGTTCAACGTGCTTTCTCCTTGATGTTTTTAAAGGCTTACAGTATATTCTTTTGCGTACTTTATGGTGCTTAGTTATGTTAATCGGCTTATTCTGCGTCTTTTGTAACAGGTACCAGATATGGTGCTAGTCTGAGGAAGCAGATTAAGAAGATGGAAGTCAGTCAGCACAGCAAATACTTCTGCGAGTTCTGTGGAAAGGTAAGTTTCCATGATGATGCGAGAGTTTACATATACTGATAAAGGAATTATCATCTGGTCTTGGTGGATAATGTCTAGGTTTCAGTAACATGGGAATTTGGATATCCATCAATGAATATTCCTAAAAGATGTAAAATAATTGGATCGACAACCCACTTGTTCTTGTATTTAGTTCTTAGAGCTTTTGATAAATTATAGACATTTCCATTGAACTTACCAATGTTATGAGATGAAAACATCTACATGTTCATACAGATTTTTTATTCCGTGAATCTAAACAATGTTCGAAACACTTGGGGGTATGCTGTGAAAAGAATGCAGAATTATTGGGTCATAATTTTTCCCCACGAGATGGAAGCTTACTACGCTATACAACTTTTATCCATATTGTTGATATTTTTGCCCATAATTCTTGAAAGTTTTGACGAACCTTGACATTTCTGTTGTACGTTACAAAAGCGACCATGTAAACCAAGTTGTTTTATGGAAATTCTGAAGAGAACATGTAATGTACGTGTGCATAGTAATTTATTTCACAATTACAATCAATGATTGCTGTTTTGGACCCTTGCAGTATGCCGTGAAGAGGAAGGCTGTTGGGATATGGGGTTGCAAGGACTGTGGAAAGGTGAAAGCCGGAGGTGCCTACACATTGAAGTGAGTGCAGTTGGTTCTTAATTTGCAATATGATGTGTTTGTGCTTTCAAATTCTGATCAAGGTTTTGATTGATTCTGTTTCTTTCTTTTGTTTTGGGCAGCACTGCAAGTGCGGTGACCGTTAGGAGCACAATCCGAAGGTTGAGGGAGCAGACTGAGAGTTAAAGTTCGATTTTGTTCTGTCTCGAGTCATTACTGGTCTGTTTAGTGTAGAGTTCTTGGAAGAAGATTGTTGGATGACTTCTATTTCATGTCGTGACCCCAGAGCTTATAAACTAGCTCTGCCTTTTTGGCCACATTATTTCTAATTATCCTGAGTTTTTAGACACTTCTACTCTCTTTTTTGCCCAACAGCAACATTTTTTTATATGTTTTTAAATCTGACTTTTGTTGGTTAATTGTGTGGGATGTCAGTTTATAATCAAAAAAATACTTTCTCCATTAGCGTAAGGCCTTTTGAGATATGCCATTTGAGATGAAAATCCAAAGGAGAGTTTAGGCTCAAAATGGACATGTCATACTAACTATTATAAATGTATACAAGTAATCTGATTGGAAAGCTATGCATCTATTGAATTAAAAATCTTTTGAAGTCTGAATTTTTCACTAAATGTATGGTTCATACGCAGAGAAATATGTTCCTAAGTCACAAAATAAACCTCATATTTCATCAATAGACTACCAAATAAAACTCAAATAAAAATTATATAAAAAATGTATCTTAATTCACTGAATTAGACCTTGTGTTTTTTTAATTAAAAATGCCCTCTTAAAAAAGGGTGGGAATACTCCTCAATTTTAATAAACATTACAAATACCTTAAAAGGCCGTCTTAATTCTCAACAGCTTAAGGCTCTAGTAATTGAGCATTTAGATCAAAATGAGAATTATCAATGTTTACAGATTCCTACATTTCTACAATGAACAAGATGATTGAATATGAAGATGTATCTTTTATTAACAAACGCCCAATAGCAAATGGGCAAAATAGTCTATGAGGCATTGGCTCAACGAGGCACCAGATAAATCTAACTGCTACAAAAAGGTTATAAACGTGTGTAGACGGCACAACATATTAAACTTACATACTTCAACATCAAGAAATATGCCTGAAGATGATTTCTTCATGAGAAGAAAGACCGTTTCTTGTTGCGTTCCAATCGAGCTTCCCGCTGCAAAGGAGACAGAACTTGTTCAATTTAGAAACTTCAAAAACAGAAGCTATGTCTAACAAAAAAGAAAGGTGCATGATGCTACACACCAACCAAACAAGTAAATGACAGCCTATGAAACATTATTATATTTACTAAACCTTACAAAAAAAAAATGAGTTGGGTCACTCTCTCATTACAGATTTTAACTAGGATAGAATATAGGATACATAAATTACTAAAACTTGGAAAATCCAAATAAAACTTTTTAAACTGTAAGGACCAAAATCATATTTGAGCACATGATTAACATGATTCACTCAATGACAAACATTGTGTGTAGGTCGTCTAATGATGTCCAAATGAAATAAGGATATTTAAATTTCCTTTATCCATTAACACAAGCAAATGAGCAGACCCCAAGACGCAAATTACCATAATATTGAGCATATGCTTTCAGTAACTGTTCCACACATAACAAAACGTTCCTCCACTCTAATTTCATGTGATAACTAAGAAAAGAAAATACCTCTTTTTTCTTGCATTCCTTGTAAACATCAAAATGTTCTTGACATTTGCTCCTCTCTGAGCTATGTTCTTCAAGACCTATAGCATTTGGAAAAGGAGATTCTCTCATAAGAAGCTCAAAATGTTATCTGACATAAATTCTAAATTGAAGGAAGTACAATACAATTCCAAATCTACAAAATTAGTAATCTAAACACCAACTTCTCATTGGATGATTGATATACATCAAGGATTAAGTTTCACTTTATCAGGATCAACAACGATAATACTCACTTATGAATTCAAATTTAAATTTCACTTTACACACGATTTATAAGCCAGTACCAATTATACATGTTTTCTGAAAACAATCTGTAAATACAGTCTTGAAGCTTTGGAAAAGTATGCATAGGCCTTGAGGTTTAAAAGATTTATCCTTGGCTTAAGTTGCAGCTCGAAGCTTCTGCATTAAACATCTCTTAAAAATTATTCTGTTTCATATGTGGTATTATCCTTAATCCTAAATCAAAACAAATACAGAGGTATCTCCAAAAAGTAAAAACTATCTTATAAATACAGCTATAAGAATGAGCCAAACAATGAAATTGCATTGGATTGTTGATGTTGAATGACAACTAAATAAGTTTTGGATCAGAAAAACCATCCAACTAAGTAATTCCTACTTTGAAATTTTAAATAAGAACTTGGCCCTAAGGAACGGGAGATTAAGATCTTTCGCCATCAAAATCCTAGTCAAAGCTTCAAAATCCTGGCAAACCCTATTTTTTTTCTTTAAGATTGTCGTCCGATCACTAATGCATTGAGTTTGCTAACTCTTAATTAATTGACCTAAAGTGGATGGAAATAGTATCCCTAGAAATGGAACTAAATCAGGCTAACCAATTAATCAACAAATAGAGCATAGAGTATCGCCAAGAGAGTTAGAGTTTGCACGATCATCGACAACAACAAATTCGCAAGCTTAACCATCCAGAACACAAACTGAAAAAATTGATGCAAAGCACGCAATCATTGTCAAGCGCACCAGTGGAAGACGTCCAAATGGCGAATCATACAATAACGAAAAATGAGAACAGGCGGACGGGGAATATAAGAGAGAACCTACATTTCAGGGAAGCACTGTACTGAGGAAAACAAGGAGAATCAGAAATTCTAGCAGCACTGGGGTACGGCGGAGACGGATCCCTGGAAGTGGAAGCCATGGCTGAAAAGCTCGCTCTTCCTCTCGGTGGAAACTGGAGGGCGGTTGAAATGGCTGCGTGGAAATTCCGATGAGAAAGAAAGAGAATCAATCTCATTTTATACGTAATTGTATCGAGAGGGTGAATCGGTTTTCCGACCCGACCCGACCCGAACCATTCAGTTTCTAATTTCATATCAAAAATGGTATACCTCTAATGAGAGTTGGATTTTTTACTTATACATTATAGCTATCCAATATAGGTATCAAGCCATTCGGTTCGGTCAGGTTTCAACCATCTAACTCGTTATTGGTCAGCTTCGAGACTTTTCTAGACTTTTCTTTTTAGTCTCAAAGACAAGTTTCGACCCTCTTACTCAACATTGGTCAGCTTTGAGACTTCCCTTTTGTATTACACGCTCTTCGGCTTAGTTTCGAGGACAGTGTCGTAAGTCGACACTCGTTAGCTTCGAGACTTTCCTTTCGTATTAAGTTGTCATCCAGGCTCTTCAACTTAGTCCGGAGGAGTTCAAATGTTTTCTCGACCTCCCTTGGGCCTAGTTGGGCCTAATGGGCTTGGGCTCATCATTTTTCAATTGTACTTTATTTTTCAAATTTTAAATTTAAGCAAGTAATATTATAGGATACAATTTTCATGTAATTCCTTGAAGCAACAAACAAACAAAAACAGTAACATGCAATTCCCGGAAGAAATTATGTCAGATAACGGATAACCTCCATAGGCCAAGTTTGAGATAATTTGATGCATATACCTATCAAAAGACGACACCTGTACAAGCCAAATTCTTCTCTAAAATGAATAAATAAGTGGATGAAGATGAAGGGTATGATGATTTACACTTTGCAGTGAAACCAAATGGATTTTGAGCTCAGTTTAAGTGTCTTTACAGCTGAAGAATGACCTACTTCCATCTTTTCTAGCTCCCCAAAAATAATGTATAGCCTCTTTTATTGTTGACCTCTTCAATGGAAGTCGATTCCATCTGCATACTAGCAAAACAAACCAACATTTCGGGCGAAGTAAACTACTCATTCGAGTGTTCAATGTTAGGATATGAAAGCAAGATATGAAACGAATAGCTTTGCGCTCGGGGGTGAGTGCGATAAAATAGGTTGTTCCGAGAGTAGAAGTGAAACGAAGAAGCGGAATAGCTAGGTATGAAGGCGGCCCTCGAGCTTCATGAAGATACTCATTCCATGGCCACCTTCAGTAGCTCCTCCCAAGTGGTAAGCTTTTCCCTGGGTTTGTTCTTTAGACTCCCAAGCCTCGTTTCAGCGGAGTCTATTTTTTCCCATGCGCTAAACGGGATAACTCTTACATTTTGATCGTCTAATGCTCGTATGAGACCTTCTCTCCCGGGCTTCGGTGAGCTAGAAAAGGAAGACAACGATGCTCTTTTATCGAGGTCTTCACATATGCTTGCAACCTAAGGAATCAAATGATTATGGTTAAAATTTTAAACATATAAATAATGTGTATAACGGCTTACTCAAGGAGGATTCAAATACTCACGGTTTCTTCAGCACAATAGAGATTTGTTGCAATAATTCCAGTTGGTCCTCTTTTCAACCACCCACATACATATAATCCTTCCTCAGGTTGGATGGAATCTCCAGACATATTGCTTACAACTCGACCTCTAATGTTCGGTACGATTCCTGAAAATGGAACTATCAGCCAAGGAAAACACCAGAGAACAAGTTTTTCCATGGCAGCTTGAGTGCATAAATGAATAGAGACATGAGATGTAACAGCCCAAACCCACCGCTAGCAGATATTGTCCTCTTTGGACTTTTCCTTTTGGACTTTTCCTTTTGGGCTTCCCCTCAAGACTTTAAAACGCGTCTGCTAGGGGGAGGTTTCCACACCCTTATAAAGGGTGTTTCGTTCTCCTCCCCAACCGACGTGGGATCTCACATGAGAAGAGTTTGTTGGATACGTTCAATCCATGGTTTCGTATGATTATTCTCGAGTACATCGTAAAAATGAATCGAATATGACATTGACATGTAAGATCTCCAAGTAAGAAAAGAAATTAAGAAATAAATAAGGTAAGAGAAAGATCTCGAGGATGTCTTAATCTCATACCTTTCAGATGATCAAAGGGTAATCCATCTATGGGCACTGATTTGTAACCTATGCTCTTTAGCACCATCCTATACAAAATTCGAGCAATTCAAACTAGATGAGCTTATTCTATTACAACAACAAAATACAAATTAATATTCATCATCTCATAGAAATATTCTGATGAACAGTTATATCACCTAGTGAAATGAAAACCAAAATATATTTTCTGATGTAAAATTTGTTGCCAAAAAGAAATGAAAAGGAAAATTTTAACTTGAGAAGGAATTACTGGCATTCAAGGTCTTCAAACTCCCCAGTACCTCTAGCAATCTGCTTTCCAGGGCTAGAACCTACAGAATAAAAGCGAATAAGTAACT